TTTTTTTAGCAGGACGGCCGTCTCTTCTCACCTTGTCCTCCGGGGTACATGCAGCGGAAGGCCCGGCCCAGCTCCTCGGCCTGGACCCGGCCGGCCGGAGTCAGCTCCCCTCCCCACTTCAGAACCAGCAGCAGGGACGGGCCTTCTTTACGCGTGTCTGAAACCCAGAAACAGGAAACACGGAGCCAGTTAGAGCACCTGAACGCAGCAGCTCAGCTGGAGAACGATCCAGTCTGCCCACCTTCTTCTTCACTGGAGGTCTTGGGCTGCCCGTGGGGAAGGTAGGTCAGCTGCACTTTCCTGTTGATCCCCGAGAAGTGGCCATACCTTCATCAGAAATAAATATCAGAAAAATCTGGGGGGAAAATCTGGGGGAAAAAAATCTGAAATATCTGACAAAAATCCGAAAAATCTGAAATATCTAAAAAAAAATCTGAAATATCTGAAATAACTAGAAATCTGAAAAATCCGAAAAAATTTGAAATATCCGAAATATCAGACAAATCCAAAAAATCCAAAAAATCAGAAATATCTGAAAAATCTGAAAAATCTGAAATAACTGACAAAATCCGAGAAATCTGAAATATCTAAAAAAAAATCTGAAATATCAGAAAAATCTGAAATATCTGATAAAATCAGAAATATCTGAAAAATCAGAAAAATCCGAAAAAACTTGAAATATCTGACAAAATCTGAGAAATCTGAAATATCTAAAAAAAAATCTGAAATATCTGAAAAATCTGATATATCTGATAAAATCCGAAATATCTGAAAAATCAGAAATATCAGAAAAATCTGAAATATCTGAAATATCTGAAATATCTGAAATATCTGAAATATCTGAAATATCTGAAAAATCTGATAAAATCCGAAATATCTGAAAAATCTGAAAAATCTGATAAAATCCGAAAAATCTGAAATATCTGACAAAATCCGAAAAATCTTAAATATCTAAAAAAAAAACTTACATATCTGATAAAATCCGAAAAATCTGAAATATCTGGCAAAATTTCCAATTTGAATAGATTGATGACTCTATTATTTGTTTGAAATGTGTATTAATTCATCTGTGGCCTCCATTTTCCATCAGTTTTTCTTTGGGTTCTGGCAGCAAAAGCCAAATAAATCAGACAAATGGGGTTTAGGATTAGTGGCTGCTGACTAACCCGGTTTACTTACATTTCCAGAACAGTTTTCAGCTGCTCCAGTTTGGACTTCTTCTCCTCGATCTCGCAGTCGTTGTGCTGGCCCAGCTCGGCCAGCAGCTGGCGGGTGATGTCCAGCACCTCCTGGGGAGGTCAGAGGGAGGCTGAGAGGGGCCGGCTTTGGCTCATAAGGCCTTAAAACCCACCGGTTCCACTTTACCTGCAGCTGCTTCGGCTTCTTCAGCTTTAATTTGCCAGTTTTGTATCCTCCGTATTTTTCGAACAGGTCAAAGAACCTGGATGTGTCAGAAAATAATTTAGAAAACAAAGTTTTTAAAGGCCAGACTGGAGGGTTTTACTTCAGGGCGAGGAGACGCACATGGGGTTGCGGACTTCCATCTTCATCTTCTGTTTGGGAGTTCTGTCTCCATGACGGATGACGGCTATGACGCAGCGCAGCTCCATCCTGAGGATTCACCACAAATCAAACACAAATCAAACACAAATCAAACACAAATCAAACCCACTTTAGGGATGTCTCGATCCAGCTTTTTTCACCTCCAATCTGATCCCGGCCTATCAGAGCATGTGTTAAAGTTTAAAGTTATTTATCTACTTACTTAGTTGTCAGACTCATGTTGAATGAGGGTTTTACTCCAATAACAACTTAATGGTTCAGTTGAGCCCTAAGTTATTTTGTCGTTTTAATATATTATTTGTACTAAGTTAAATATGATTTAGCTTCTATTTTGTTAGGTTTTGTGTTTATTGTAATTCTACTATGTTCCTCCTCCCTCATATAAATCTACCCCCCAACCCTGTTGGCAAAAATGTGGGGAGACAAATGTGAACTGTGCACATGTTTTTTGGCTTTTGGGATGAATACTTGGCTCCCAGATACCAAAACATTCACAGTGTTGTATCTTGGAAATGTTTTGTGTAAATCTGACAGGTTTAAAATCCTGATTGCTGCCGGTAAAAAAACAATCACCAAAAAATGGGACAAAAAAGACCTCCCTGACAAAGAGGACTGGCTGGAATTGTAAGTAAATATATGTCATGGAGGACTTGACCCACAGAATAAGACTAAAGATGGACTCCTGTGTGGGAAAAGTGGATTTTTAAGTGACTAACTGAAAATAAGGGGCATTGTTTACCAGCTTGAGTCATATCCCAATCCGGACAGTATATAGTTTTGTTTATGTTGTGCGTTTGTTCTTTCCTCTCTTACTCACATGGTCCCTGAGGTGGTGGGGACGATGGGAATATCTTCTGCCTCGGTCGGGATGGACCAGGGGATTTGAAACTGGGGGGCCAGCTCTCGCATCACAATGTTCCTGAAAGACAGAAAGAATCAGTAAGGACGGGCAGAGAAACCTCAGGAAAGCCCAAAGCGAGACTAGAGCTGCAGGATTAACAAAACCGAATCACGACGTCATGCTGAGCAATTCTGTAAACGCATAAAAGACTGAGATTTAATATGTTGGCATTCTCTCTTAGAAGAAAGAAATAAACTCTTTATCTAACATTTTGAAAACAGCAGACATTGAACATAAAAAAAGAGAAAGAAACTCTTTATCTCACATTTTGAAAAATACAGACATTTAACATTAAAAAGAAAGACAAAAACTCTTTATCTAACATTTTGAAAAATACAGAAATTGAACATAAAAGAAAGAAACTCTTTATCTAACATGAAAACAGAGGCCTATCAGCTCAGATGTTCCAGTTCCGTGTTCTGGTTTCCAAAAAGTAGGAACTCTGCCTCCAGACGGGTTTACCCCTCTTCTCAGACTCATAGGGGTATAAAATGTACCATGATTTTGTTTTACTTTGGGCTAGTTTGGTGCCTCATATGAACCACTTGTATGGTCTTTCCCTTTGTTTTCCCTTTTTAATACATTTCTATTTCTTACTTCCTCATGTGGACTCAGACTTTTGCTTCAAATGAAATGTCCACAACAGGGAGCAGAGTGTAGATTAGCCCTGAAATACCCCCCACGTACCCCAGGATCTTGGCACAGTCGTCGTAGTATTTCATGGAGTTCTTCACGAAGCTAAAGCCGTTGACGTCGCAGACGTAGGAGTGGCCGTTGGCCCGGAGCAGGTCGAAGCCGCACACCGTTTGCTGCCACACAGGAGAAGAGGGGGGAGTTACGACCCCCCGGAGAGGAAGGGGGGGGGGGGCAGACCAGGAGCCTGTAGGAGCCTCGGCTGGATATCCAACTCCTCCCACAGCCATGTCGGCCCTTTTGATTAGGTCATGTGACTAGCAGCTTTATCGGGTGGAAACGAAACTTCACTGTCTATACGAAATCAGAAGATAAACCATGTCCTAAACCTAACCCTGACCCTAATCCTAACCCTGACCCTGATACTAACCCTGACCCTAAACCTAACCCCTGACCCTAACCCTAACCACTTTCCCTAACCCTAACCTCTTCTCCCAACCCCTTCCCCTAACCCTGACCCTAAACCTAACCCCAACCCGGACCCTAACCCTGACCATAACCCTGACCCTAAGCCTAAACCTGAACGTAACCCTAAAACTGACTCTAATCCTTAACCTAACCCAAACCCTTACCCTAACCACTTTCCCTAACCCTAACACTAACCCTGACCTTAACCCTAACCCTGACCCTGACACTAACCCTTACCCTAACCCTAACCCTGACCCTAACCCTAACCCGAACCCTCCACCCTTCATAACTGCGAGAAATAAATATTTTTTGGTTAAACTTGTTTGGACTTATTGTAGAAACCTATTTAACATCCACTATTTTAACATAATATTATGGATAGAGTTTAATTCAGTGTTTGCAAGATTCATTTCACTATTTTTAAATCAATGTCTATATTACCGTTTAGCAATTAGGATTTTCTTGCCTGGGATCTTCCTATTGGTGACCTAATCAAAATGGCCAACTTGGATGTGGGCGGGGTTGGATATCCATCCTTGGCTTCCAGACAGACTTACCTTAAAGGCCAGGCAGACCTTCCGGGCCACCAGCTTCTCCATGGCGGACAGCATGACGGGGTAGCGCACCTCCTTCCCCTCACTGTCCCGCTCCACCTTCCCGTCCAGGGCGGGGGACTTCCGGGCCTCCGCGTGGGCGTAGTCCGGCCCCACCGTGTACACCTGCCGCCCCCCCCCCCACACAGCTCAGGGTTCACACGGTCAATCATTCCTGCTGCTACAATGCTGCACTATAACTATAACTACTATAACTGTGCAATTATTTTATTATCTATTATTATTATTAATAATTACAGAATTACAGATGCTAATGCTAATACTAATGGTGGTGGATGCTCCTACTACCACCATTAAGGCCCCAATTAGAATCCAGCTGGAGGTGGAAGCCTTGGAAGATACCATTGTTCCAAAGACTGAGGGGGGATGTTAATTTGGTAGCTAAGTTCAGTTTTCAGTTGAGCCCTAAGTTATTTAGTCATTTTAATATATTATTTGTATTAAGTTAAATATGATTTTGCTTCTATTTTGTTGTTTGTTCCATCATTAATTAATTAATATTTATTATTATTATTATTTATTTATTATTGACCTGTGCAATATGTATACTGTATATAAGCCATCCTGATTGTACATGTCACTCAAATCTGTGTTACTTCCTTGTATTTTTATTTATCTTCATTGTTTATACTTTATGCACCTTTTCCTCCTTGTTTGCACCATCTTTAATCACTAAACCAGTGAATTTCTCCACCGTGAAATCAATAAAGCTTATCTTATCTTATCTTAAAGGGCTCTACCTTGACGTCGGTGCCGTCGGTGGGCATGAACTCCTCGTAGATGTAGGATCCCGTCTTCCTCACGCTGCTCTCCGGAGAGTAGACGCTGCTCCGGCTGCCGATCTGAGGGAGACACAGCGGCCGGGGGGGTTTAAGGCAACGGCCAGGACTTTAAGGGGGACAGGGAACAGGCCCTGAGCTGGTCCATCGGGTAAAATGAATAAAAATTTAAGTTGTGCAAAGGCCGTCCAAAGTTTTCAAAAAATGGGAAAAAATGGATAAATTAAAACTTAAAAAAAGGCATCCAAACTAACTCTCTGAAGGCTCAGCTGGACTTTGTGTATCTGAGTATGTCAGAGTTGTGTTTCTGTTTCTTTAACTGGGCCCTGTAAACAAAACAGGAGCATTTAGTTGGAGCCGTTTCTGTTCTCTCGTCATTTTGTGTTTGAAATGGTTTTATTTAAGTTTAAAGCGCCTAGAGCTATAATCATATTTTAGTCCCATAACAGAGTGAAACACCTTTGGCTACAAAGAGAGAAGAGCCTCAGGAATTGGGGGATTTTTAAAATATTATAAATATTTTAAATATATAATGTAATATATTATATATTGTTATAATATAATATAATATAATATAATATAATATAATATAATATAATGGAGGCCGAGCATCAGTCTGCTGATTTATGAGACTTTTCTATGAATGAGGCTTCAGGTGATGATGGAAAAAAAGCCCATATAATGATTAAAAGCATGAATTAAAGTAGTCTCCTTCTAGGGAAACAAGATTGTTTTCCCTTATGACTCCTTAGTTGCCAGTTTGTTCTCCTGTTTGAGAATAGGGGAGTATAAAAAGGGGTGGGGACCTTTCTGAAGAGCCTCTGGCTGCCTCCGCCTGCAGAGGTGGGGTAGTAGATGTAGACGTTGTGGTCCTCAGCACAGACGGGCTTCTCCACAAAAGGCTTCTGGAAGACCTCCCCGTTCACCTCCACGTGGTCCTCCCCCTCCACCAGGTTGCACTCTAAGACAACAAACCAGAGCTCTGAATGAAGGCCGTCATGAGTTAGGGACAACACGGACAATTACAATAATTTCCTATATTTTTCAACTGAAAACACACAAACATGACACAAAAAAACACCAACCCTGAACTTGACCATCCTATTAAAGCCGGGGGTCACGTGACTCCACTTCAAAATGTTAGATAAAGAGTTTCTTTCTTTCTTTTTTTTATGTTCAATTTCTGTATTTTTCTAAATGTTAGATAAAGAGTTTTTATTTTTTGGATGTTCAATTTTTGTATTTTTCAAAATGTTAGATAAAGAGTTTCTTTTTTTATGTTCAATGTCGATATTTTTCAAAATGTTGGAAAAAGAGAGTTTTTTTTATTTTTATGTTAAATTTTTGTATTTCTCAAAATGTTAGATAAAGAGTTTCTTTCTTTTTATGTTCAATGTCTGTATCTATTCCTGATGCTGAGTTAATAGACTATTTTTTATTCAGGTTGTTTGTGTGTTTTGCCTTTTTAATACAGTTTATAATATTATTTGCGCTTTTTACTGTTCACTGATGCCATTTCTGTTTGTTAATTATAGTTTTATCTATTTTGTGTTTCTCCGTGAAAAAAGAGGTCAGTGTCTCTTTACCAACCAGTGTGTGTTATTCAGACTCCCCTAATTCAGCTGGCTAGTTATCAGAGTAAATCCCTGTTCAACATGAGTCTGTCAGTAAGTAGATAAATAACTTTAGACTTTAACACATGCTCTGATAGGCCAGGAGTTTTACCCTAAAATGTGCTAAATTTACAGTTGTTGTTTTTTACCATAAAATATGCAAAATTGATTTTTTTCCCCCTAAAATATGCAAAATCTGTTTTCTTTTACTCTACAGTGTGCAATTTTTACAGTTTATACCCTAAAATGTACTAAATTTACATCATTTTTAACCATAAAACAAGCTAAATTAAGAGTTTTTACCTTAAAATGTGCTAAATTAACTGTTTATTTACCATAAATATGCAAAATTGAAATTTTTCCACAGAAAAGGTGAGTAAATCCCTGTTCAACATGAGTCTGACAACTAAGTGAGTAGATAAATAACTAAAAAAGCTGGATGGGGAAATCCCTAATGAAGACACTGAGAACTTGTGTGAGGCTCATAGATGGAGAGGAGGGTGGGAGGCTACTGACCCTCTGGCTTATCGGGGTCTCGGTTCAGCACGGTGTAGCGGGGGAGGTCGATCCCTTCCTCCTGCAGGATGCGATACACCTCCCTCCTGTTGGAGACAAAACCCACAGCTTCAGCCCGTTGGTGTCAGGCTGGAGGCAACTCCCCCACATCCTAGTTGGCCATTTTGATTATGTCACCAATAGGAAGATCTCAGGCAAGAAAATACTAATGGCTTCATGGCAATATAAACATTAATTTAAAAATAGTGAAATGAATCTTGCAAACACTTAATTAAACTCTATCCATAATATTATGTTAAAATAGTGGATGTTAAATAGGTTTGTACAATAAGTCCAAACAAGTTTAACTAAAAATATTTATTTCTCACAATTATGAAGGGTGGAGGGTCAGGGTTAGGGTTAGGGTTAGGGTCAGGGTTAGGTTTAGGGTCAGGGTTAGGGTTAGGGTTAGGACATCGTTTATCTTCCGATTTCGTATAGGCAGTAAAGTTTCGTTTCCACCTCAGAAAGCTGCTAGTCACATGACCTAATCAAAATGGCCGACTACAGGCTGCTTCGGGGCGAGGACCCACCTGTCCTGGATGTAGTACTGCATGTTCAGGTCGTTGATGAGCAGCGGGTTCCTCAGTTTGGCGTAGCTCACCGCCTTGTCCAGCGGGAATCCTGGAGGAGACAGAAGAGCATCAGAGAGGTGAACAGAAAGCGTCCGACAGCTGTCTGATATCTGTCTCACATCTGTCTCACATCTGTCTCACATCTGTCTCATATGTGCCTCATATGTGCCTCATATATGTCTCAAATCTGTCTCAAATCTGTCTCAAATCTGTCTCATATCTGCCTCATATCTGTCTCAAATCTGTCTCATATCTGCCTCATATCTGCCTCACATATGTCTAACATCTGTCTAACATCTGTCTAACATCTGTCTAACAGATATCAGACAGATAGTTTCCCTCTACTACCTGATAAAAATGCTGCTCTACCTGTTAAACATTGTTGTTTAAAGATAAACTGTGTCACTGAAATTAGCTGGAACAATAATAAAACATCCGTTTCCTCATTCTGAGTCGTCAGAACTCTGGTTTTTATTCTATTAATAAAGCCTGACTGGTTATCTGACTGCTTATTGACGTTCTCTGTAGCGTAGCTTTAGCTGGTGGATGCTAACTTAGCCCAGCAGCTAATGGAGCTTCTGCTCTCTGAGCCTTATAGAAGGAAAATACTGCATTTTGTTTGATTCAAAAAGGATTCGTGGCATTAGTTTGGATGCGTTTTCTGTCTATTTTTTCTATTTTATTTGTCTATTTTCTGTCTTTTCGGCTGTAATGTGGTGATTTACCCTTGGAGTGGAAGGAGATCAGGCAGTCACACAGAGGCCATCTGTCCACGGGCTCGTTGAGGATGGCGTCCTCGGGGAAGATGACCACGGTGATGTACTCGAACCTGCACAGCCTCTCCAGGATCTGGGTCATTGGCTTGGACTTGGACTTCTTCATCATGCAACAGATTCCCACCACAATCTGCCGCTCCGGAGGCTGGAGGACGGAAAAGAAGACCAATGAGGAGCCCGGTGGCTGAAAACTGGCTAATTCAGCCAAAGGAATGACTCTACGTCCACATGTGTGTTAAACGTATGTTCCAGTTAGGAGGATTAAAATCCTTAAAATGGAAGATTTCAAGCCTAATCTACACACTGCTCCCAATCTGGTCCTCACTTTTGGTTAAGAGACAACCGAGTTGAGCTTATTTATCATTTTAACTGTGAAAATCTTTAAAAGTTAAAATTAAAATATGCACAAGATTTCCTATTCTCTGCACTACAGTGCAGCTTGTCTCTCAAACTTCAGAAATTCAGCTTCTCTAAAACAGACATTTGTTCAGTTTTGTCTAGTTTTACCTGAGTAAACCAAGTATTAGGACTATGTCCTTGTTATTTTATTATGATGGCAGCTGAACAAAAACCTATAAAGAGTTTCTTCCTTTTTTGTGTTCAATGTCAGTAGTTTTCTAAATGTTAAAGAGTTTCTTTCTTTTTTTTTAATGTTAAATGTCTATATTTTTCTGAATGTTAGATAAAGACTTTTTTCTTTTTTTTTCTTTTCTGTAGTTTTCAAAATAGTAAAGAGTTTCTTTCTATTTTTATGTTTAATGTCTGTGTTTTTCTAAATGTTAGACACAGTTTCTTTCTTTTTTTTATGTTTAATGTCTGTATTTTTCTAAATGTTAGACAGAGTTTTTTATTTCTTTTTTTAAGAGAGAATGTCAAAATGTCCTTTATGATTCCAGAATAGCTCAGCATGACATTGTGATTTGGTTAATGGTTCAGCTCTAGTTTCTGCCCCCCCCCCAGAGCTAATGGCCCTCTTCTCCCGTCCTACCGAGTCTGTGTCCTCGTCGTCCTCGTACAGCTCCATGTCTGTCCTCATGCTCCCGTCCAGCACCTCGCTCTCATCGTCCTCGCAGCCCACGAAGAATCTGGGAGCGCCACACCGGCTCTCGCCCGGGCTGTCGGGCTCTGACATCACAATCCCCGCCGGCGGCAGCCCTCACAGTCCCACCGCGCCATCGCACGCCAACCCCCCGCTGGGGGGGGGGCACCGGGCCGGGGGGGGGGACCCGGGCGGGGGGGGGGGGGCAGGGGGGGGGGGGGGGGCCGGGCGGCGGGCGCTGGGACATCAAACGGCCAGAGGGAAACCGCGGAGCTGCTCAGTCCCCGGGAACGCTCCGACTCTGGGGCTTCATTTCCAGATAAGTCCAGGTCAGACGCCACCGGATGGAGTCAGCCAATCACAGCGCTCCCCAGCCACCCCTGAAGGACACACAACACAGCACACGTCAGGGAGACTCACAAAACTGTGTTGAGTAACAACACACACACACAGACAGACAGAGACACTAACACGTACACACAAACACAGACACAGAAAGACACCCACACACAGACACTAACACACACTCACATATTCACAAACACACACACACACAATAACATCACACACACACACAGACACTAACACACACTCACATATTCACAAACAGACACACATACAAACACACATTAACATCACACACACAGACAGACACAAACACACACATAAACACACACACACACACACACACAGACACTAACACACAGACACCCACACAAACACACACAGACATACACACAGACACTAACACACACACACACATTAACATCACACACACAGAAACTAACACTCACACATACACACAGACACTAACACACACACACAGACACTAACACACACACACAGACACAAACACACACCGACACTAACACACACACACTCACAGACACACACAAAAATATACACACACACACACAAATATACACACACAGACACTAACACACACACATACACTCAGACACTAACACACAAATATACACACAAAGACACTAACACGTACACACAGACACACACACACACAGAAGTAATTTGTTTTCTTGCTATGTGTGATTATCTGCATTATTTATTAAGGAGTTATCGTAGGTTTTTGGACCCAATTCTAGGAATTACAGAGTATTCTGATGGAAGATGTGAACCAACACACCAATATTTAACACAGAAGTGGCTACTGGACCCAGTTAGACTCTGAGGAGGTTCTGCTGGATTTTGTCTTTAAAGTGGAGTAAGGTAAAATATGACACTAATCAAACTGATCTGAGCCACATGTCCTTTAGTAGCCGGAGGAGGTGGGCCTGTGTTGGACCCGGTTCCAGGGACAGGGAGGTCCGCTGACCGGCCCAAAGTGCTGACAGGCCCCAGCTGACCACGACATTCACAGAACGGACGAGGCTGGGGCCGGCTATTTGCAGCTGAGAGCATCGTGGAACAGCCCCGAGGGAGCTCCACCGACATGATAAACAAGCACAACTGTCCAAACACCACCACAACTCCAAGTCTCCCAACACAAATACCCCCCAAAGGACCCCTGACCTCAAAACCAGAGCAGTTTAACACTGTCTTCAGCTTGCATTCAAGTTTTAAACACTTCTATTGGAAAATATACATGTATAATTCAAGAAAATAAGATTAAAAAATGGATTTTAGAGGCAGCTTTGCAAAGATCCATCTTAAAATAACGACGCATTCTTTATTAAATGTGATCTCTCCATCTAGATTTAGTTTTTTTAAAGTTCCCAGCAGATTTTGGCCTCATAAAGAAGTATTTTTACCAGAAGCCTGCTCCGTTTCGACCTTTTTCGGTTTAAAATAAACACATTCCATATCTGAGGGGATTAGTGTTGCAGAGCTTGATTGTAATTGTTAATCTCTTCTATTAAGTTGCTCCCTCAGGCCAGCAGCAGGGCTCTACCGAGGACACGCAGGTCACGTCCTCTATTTTTGAACGGGACTTTGGGGATTTAGGTGACAAACAAACATCTAAAAGGAGGAGAAGGAGACATGGCCCTTCATTACAAACCAGTTTTGTGTAAAAGTGTGTAAACAAATACCTGAACGTGTGCGTATACCACCTCAGGCACATCAAACTGGATGTCTGTACAAACATACAGGTCATTTATTCAAGAAGAATAAAGGGCATTTTCTACTTCCTGAATGTTAAATGATCCTAGCTTTTGTTTTTAGACTGTAAACTGAGCAAATCTTACGTGTCACTTCAAGGTAATAAAGTTAGTTTTTCATACTCCCACATGACATTCAAGTTATCTTACCCAAAACATGTGAAGTTTACGGTAAGAGGAGAAGAAAAATAGTGTTTAATGAGCTTGACCTTAGAGACCAAAAACAAACAAACAAACTGTTATTACGGTAATGATAGGTTAATTAAAAATTATAGCCTGGACATGAGAAAAGCGGAAAAAATGGCTTTTTTAAATGGAAAGGTCATTTTCTAGAGAACGTCTATAAACTTTGATTTGAACGTTTTGAATGTAATGTAGCTCACTGGCTAATAACAACCAGTAAATATAAATATAGCTTTAACCTAACACGGGATGCTCTGTGTAAATTAAGTCGTAAAAAGGTGGCTGCTACAGCTTATTATCTGTATTAAGGTGTACACGAGATTTTGGAGTAAACTCAACGCTGCGACATTAACTGCTAACGGCTGTTAGCTCGCGTTAATTTTGGGGAGATTTCATATTTTGTTCATGCTAGCTGGTTAGCATTCGGCTAGCTACCCGCCGCGCTAACAGTGTAAACAAGCCACGCGAGGCCATTTTGTTTGCATTTGAAGCTAACATCTTTTTAAAAACCGTGCTACTAGCGAAGACGAAGCTTAGGACCGGGCGTCAGTCAATAAATAAGTAAATAAATAGACTACTCACGGAGTAACTACGATGTTTTCACCGCTGACATCGGCTAGCTTCCTTCTCGTTTGACAGTTGAAACCAGCCTTATTTTTTTAGGATGACGCAGGTTGAGTGACGTCTCAGCCGACCAATAGAAAACGAGAACCGGCCAGAGAAGGCGTGTTTTAAAAAAAAAAGGTCCTGAATGATTGACGGCTAGAAACACCATAGAAGAAGGGAACTGACGAGGGAGGGCGGGTATTAGAAGTATCTTGAGCCAATCAGCGGACAATTAAAGGAGCCAAGATTTTGTTTTCTCCTTTATTTATGTTCTAACATTTTACAAAACATAAAGGTAACAACCAACATTTACAATGAACATTTTTATTATAAGGGACAATGTATAATAACCATATAAAGTAATATCCGAGATGAAATACAATGAGAGAAAAAATAAAATAAAATAAATAAATAATAATAATAAAACAAGAATCATTATGGAAAGCACATTATAAGTGAAATAAAGTAAGAAGGGCATTAATCAATACAATTAAATTTAATCAGAAAGTAATTACATTTGCTAGTATTTTTCTCTTTTGTTAGATTTATAGATTTTGCATAAGAATTCAGCTCATTTTTCCAGTGAGACATATTGGGCACACATCTGAAGAATCAACAATAATATTTACCTAATATAATTAGATTTTTGATGCCATCTTCATTACCGCCAATTTTATTAAATATCCCCAACTGTATTTCTTTTAAAGTGAAAGTAGGCAGTTGAATCCTTTTGGAATGGATCCACATCTGAAAGTCAAGGCAAAATCCAGGGAGCAAAGATTTGATTTATTTCAGCCGGGAGAGATTTTAGAGCTCGGACTGTTAGAGGAGGAGAGCCACAAGAAAAAAGGTCTGATTTTAACTTTCACATCCATTAAAGATACACATATTGATGCTTTCAAACCCATTGTGATCTTTGGAATATAAAGATATAAACAAATAATAAGGAATAAAACACCTATTGGAATAGACTGATAAAATATAGAAAAGAGGTCTAAGAATTTAAAATTTCCTTGACATGAATTAGACTGTGGATCATTAATCAATCAAATCTATTTTTGGATTTGGGTGTCAAATATAACGATAAAAGTTCCTTACAATATTGGAAAAATATCGGCTCTCCCTAAAAAGGTAATTTGTTAAGCAATTTGATTCCTTTTTTTCTGAGAACATCTCAGTTATGTTTAATTGAAATCCCAAGGCCACACAGGGATTTAGTTGCCACACAAATACATAAATAACATCAAATAGTGTTTTAAATATGACCTTTTCTGGATTAGAAAATACAGCTTCAACCAAACACCTCTGAATCCCCTCTGAGTGGAAGAAAGGAAACACAACGACACAAACTCAACAAACTAAAAGGATCTACACTAAGTAGAGATCCTTAGTTTTTAGGGGTCTCCCTAAAAAGACCAAATGAGGATTTCTACACGTGTTATCTGATTTAAATAGTAATGAAGCTTTGGTCGTCGTTTGAGTGGCGTCTGTGAGGCTCTAAATCTGTGAGTTCAGGTGGAGTTTTTGTACTACCTGAACTGGTTCCTCAGATGGGGGGGGGCTGGCCTGTTTGCCCCGTTTAAGTGTTGAATCCCCAGAGGAGTCGGGGTTTCTCCTCTGAGCCCTTCATGTGTACACAGCAGCCCAAAAGCTAAATCAATAAATAAACATGGAGCCGTTTCCAGCAAACTGGTGTTCAGACTTCCTGGCAGCCGGAAAGTTCTCAGCTCGGAAAAGACCAGGTGGGTATTCCTAGAAATCCACCAGGTCGAGCCGAGTGACTTCATGGGATTGGTGAGTTTAGAAATCCAGCCTCAGCAGAACCTCTGCTTCTGAGGCCTAAATATGAAAATTTTCCAAAATCCAAAGTGAAATTTGATCAAATATTTGACTCGACATACGTTGAAATCTGAGTAAAATACAAAAATTAAATCAAAATAACCAGTGTAAGTGTGTGTAGGTATCCTGTGTAAAGTCAGAGTGAGTTAGGGCTGGTCCTGTATCTCAGTCTCCACCTCTACCTCCGTTCTTCAGTCTCTGAGCTAAAGGGACAATAAAAACCCTTTTTACTCATTATTTCTGCATCATTTATTTATTTTTCCATCTCTCTTTTAGAAGTCATTTGTTTTCTTGCTATGTGTAAATATACCTAATTATCGTAGGTTTTTGGAACCAATTCTAGGAATTACAGATTATTCTGATGGAAGATTTGAACCAACACACCAATATTTAACACAGAAGTCGCTCCTGGAACCAGTTAGACTGGAGACATTTAACTGGAGAATCTGTGGGCTCAGCCAGAAAGTTTAACACCTGAGAAAAGTTTTAAAAGTAATAAGACCACCAGTCATTTTCATGGATTATGTGCTAGCATACGGTCAGTAACCAGAGCCCGGTTCTAACATGCTTCTTTGCTCTTTTTTCTATCGGGGTCTCCCCACAGGCAGAGTGGTCATATCTGCTCTCTGGATCTGCTGTGGTTTATTCCCAGGCTTCCAGCGGGAGAACCGGCTGACTGCCGGCTGAATGCTAACTCTGAAAGGTCGGCGGTTGGACTCATTCCCGGTGGGTCGGCCTCACTTTAGAGCATTTACATTTGAATACTGTACGCTGGCAGAGTGGAGGTCAGCGGATGCTGCTGCTTTGGCCAGAAATGGGACTCTTTATACAAAAACTTTCATTTAACCCCTTAAAGCCTGATCCAAGAATCAGGTTTAGTTTGAAGTCTTTATTTGGCCTTTTAACAAAATATGTAAAAAGAAAAAACAGAAATACATTTTTTATATTATTAATTTATTACTATAAGTAAAGATGATTTTTTGTGTAGTCTTCTGCCCCCTGTTATCAGGTGTATCTGAATGTGTGCAATAGGATTTTGAGCAAAGTTTTTACCATTAAATTATGCAAAAGGTGTTATGCAAACCATTTCAGAAACCTTATCAAATATGATACATTTGGCATTACAGGGTTAAATGAAGGCTGGAAAGGAAAAGTACAAAATAATAACCTCTCTTAAAAACGAGGCAGACAAAGCTATGAACAAAGCATCAAATAATAATCTCTCTAACGAGGAAAGGAAGGGTTCAAGGCAAGGTTTGGTTCGAGGACAATGTTACATGCTCTGTAGAGGTCAAAGGTCAAAACCCACTGGCCCCAGACAAGGAGAGACCAGACTATTTAGACACATCAAACCCCGGGGGAACCAATCAGAGATCAGGGGAGACAAGCAGACGTGTGACACACAGGAAGTGACCTGAAACAAGGGGATGGACCTTTCAAAATAAAACAGGAAGTGAAAAGTGCACATGGAGACAACCACCTACTTTCATTTCAAAAGAAATACAGTTGGGGATATTTGATAAAATTGGCAGTAACGAAGTTTGGCATCAATAATCTAATTATATTAGATAAATATTATTTACATAAGTGTTGTTTGTTCAGATGTGTGCCCAATGTGTCTCACTGGAAAAATGAGCTGAATTCTTATGCAAAATCTATAAATCTAAAAAAAGAGAAAAATAATAGAAAAATTTTGTTACTTTCTGATTAAATTTAATTTTATTGATTAATGCCTTTCCTACTTTATTTAACTTATAATGTGCTTTCCATAATGATTCTTGGTTTATTATTGTTATTATACTAACATTAAAACCCCAGCCAGACCTCTCCACAGTGGCAGCTTTGGGATTTTCCACCGGGGACGTGTGGGTGGTGAGAAATGAGCTGGAGGGAGAGGGAGCCTCGCCCTCCGGCTGACAGAGCCGGCCTGTTGGAGGGCAGTGAGGCAATAACGGCCTAGAACAGTACAAATAACACCAACAACCCAGACCTCTCTGTTTCTGAGGGAATGAAACAAAACTGCCCTATTTTCTCCAAAGTCTGGATGTTGAGCTTAGAGACGAGAATCTGCTGGAGCAGAGGGTCAGAACTGGGCTCCAGTTCCTCCTTTAGCATCGTATGCTAACACATAATCCTTAATTTCCTGAGGGAGTCTTCCCAAGGTATCAATAAAGTACTGTCTAAGTCTAATGTCTATGGAAATGACTGATTCCTTTAGAGCTATTCTCTGGTGTTAAACTCACAGATTCTGTCTTCTCTCTGGGATTTTAAAGCTGTTTTGCGGCTTTTAAAGCTGTATTATGGGGATTTAAAACTGGTTTTGGGGCTTTGAAAATGTTTTGGGGGGCTTTTACAGCTGTTTTGAAGGTTTTTAAAGCTGATTTGGGGTTTTTTTAATTGTTTTTTGGGGCTTTAAAGCTGTTTTGGGGATTTCAAAGCTCGTTTTGGGGCTTTAAAACAGTTTTTGTGGCTTTCAAAGCTACATTTTGGGGCAGAGAATAGTTAAAAAGTTATAAGACCACCATGTGTTAGCATAGGATGCTAACGGGGAACCAGAGGCCGGTTCTGACCGGGGTCTGTGGACAGAGGTGGAGTTGAGCTGAGTGTGGAGCTCACAGCCTGCAGACATCAGCTCCTGAGAGCGCTGTGATCAGTTCCTGCTCCCGGAGGGATGAAAGAGCAGCTTTGTCCCCACACTGGAGAGGCTTTTTCCTTTCTCCTTTTCAAGCAAAAAAAAAAAAGAAAGAAATCAACGGGAGAGCTTTAAGGGAGTCTGGGAGCTTAGAGGAGCCTGTTTGAGAGTCTGGGGGGGAGAGCAGGACAGTCTGATTTTAGTCTGAGAGGCTGTTAACTCGTTTTTTACAAAAGATCACCATTTAAAATGACCAGACTCCTTCTTTAATTGGCCGATCGGCTCATTTCTGTGGGATGGAGTTAGCAGTTCGTCCTCTTTGTCCCATCCTGGAATAAAAAATGCCAAATAAAGAAGGATAAGTCTTCCTTTTTTTCCTAAAATGTGAAGAAACAAACTTAATTGGCTCTTGTTTTTAGTCAAGTTCAGATCAGGAACAACAGAAGAAATCTCTCTGGAACAGAAAAACCTGTTTGTTTACTTTTGGGTTTAAAATCGACTAAAGTTATAGAAAATGTGAGTTGTGACATTGAGGAAATCACAATATTTTACACACTTTTTAATCACAGAACAAAAACTGAAACCAAACTCAGAAGCAGCGAGTTGAAGGTTCATTTCCCAGCGTTTTGTGCCATTGGGAACATTTAAATAGCTTCTAAAAGTTTAAATGACCGATTGCTTTCACACAAAATAAATCTCAAATGAAAGACTTAAGTAGAAACTGAGGAAATCATTCAAATAAATTGAGTGATTCCTTTTTCTGAATTGTCATCTGGATTTTGTCATACAAACTTCGTCATCTTTTCTTGGCTGTTTCTGACTTTTTAAACTCTTTAAAGTGGCTTTTAAACCATATTCTTACACACAACACCACTTTTCCTGTAGAGAATAAAAAATATATTAATCACACCTAAGGTTATTACATCCAGTTTCATTGTAAAGTGAAAGGCTTAAGTAGAAACTGAAGAAATGAGAAATGAGTGATTCCTTTTTCTGTCATCTTTTCTTGGCTGTTTCTGACTTTTTAAACACTTTAAAGTAGCTTTTATAGCACTTTTCCTTTAGAGAATGGAAAATATGAATCACTTATAAGGTAAATAAATCCACTTCTGGGGTCAGAATGAACAAACTAAGCAGTAGATTTAAAGAAAAAGGAGTTTGCATTAGTTTATTTCAGCATTTTATCTGTTATATTTAGTAAAAATACAAGTAGAAAATTCCTGATTTTGTGGAGCAGGATCTTGGCTGAACACCTTTTCTGTGGGGTTTTGTGGTCATTGAAACAGAGCTCCGCCCCCCCGGTGTGGCCAGCTTTCCCCCCGGGCTCCCACAGGCTCTTTTCAGCCCGGCATCCCGATCCCTCTCCAACTCAGGACCTGGAAACCTGAAACTCACCGCCCAATCAGAGAGGAAGAGTCCGACTTTCACACGTTTTCTGCTCAACAAGTGAGTAAAACTCAAGTTTTTATGTGTTTTTATGACACTAATACATTTAAAGTTACATTTTAGGGTTTAAAAAGCTCAAAGTTTGTACCTTCCTCAGACTTCAACATAGTAATAATCAATATTTTTTTAATTAATTGATCTCAAAGGCTTATGAATGAACATTTAAGAAGTCATATTTGTGTCATGTTGTCCTTATTATGGACACTAATACATTTAAAGTTACATTTTAGGGTTAAAAAAGCTAAAAGTTTGTGCCATGCTCAGACTTCAACGTAATAATATTCTTTTTTTTTATTTTATTAAATGATCTCAAAGGTTTATGAATGAACATTTCAGAGCTCATATTTGTGTCATGTTGTTTTTATTATGGACACAAATACATTTAAAGTGACATTTTAGGGTTAAAAAAGGTGAAAGTTTGTAGCTTCCTCAGACTTCAACAGAGTAATAATCAATATTTTTTTAATTAAATGATCTTAAAGGCTTATGAATGAACATTTAAGAGCTCATGTTTGTGTAATGTTATTAAAATTAGATCATTTTATAGATGGTCTGACCATCAGAATCTCACATTTATATTTTAGTGTAGCAGAAGAAAGAGGCTGAATCCTAAATGAGAAACTCTGTAATGTTTAAAACTCCAGTTTGTCGAAGCTCTACAATGATATTTTAGCACTAAAATAGAGTTATAATTGATATCAATGCACTTTCAAATATCCTGTATTAGTAAAATTAAAAAAACAAAAACATAATTATTAGAGAAGTTAGAGGAGAAAGTAGACCATAGAGAAAAACACGGGCTCATCCCTTGAGTTAGGGGCCTTTCTCCTGCCTTCCCACTGGCTCTAACCGCCATCAGAGGGTCAAGATGGCCGCCTGCTCACCTGTAGCCGTGGCAACGGGCTGACCTTTGGCTTGACCCCTCAGGTGGGGATGAGCCGGTGGGCGGTGCTGTTGTCTCTGTGCGTGGGCGTGGCCTCGGCCAGCCTGGACCACGCCCACCAGGACCCGGCCGTCACGGGTGAGTCCGCGCCCCCCCTCTGTCCAACTCCGAGTTTTCCTCTAAATGTTTTTTTTGTGTCGCAGACCCCGAGGACGTGCTGAGCGTGAGCGTCCCCCTGGAGGCGCCACAGCGCCCCCCGCTGGGGGGGGAGCTGCTGCTGCCCTGCTTCTTCCAGGTGGGCCGGGTTAGCATTAGCATGTCGACCGTTTGCATGTTAACATTAGTATAGTTATCGTTAGCATAGTTAAACATTATATAGTTAACATCAACATAGTTAGCATTAACATAGTTAACATTAGCATTGTTAGCATTAACATAGTTAACATCAACATAGTTAGCATTAACATATTTAAAATTAGCATAGTTAACATCAACATAGTGAGCATTAGCATAGTTAGTATTAACATAGTTAACATTAGCATAGTTTGCTTTAACATAGATAACATCAGCATAGATAGCATTAGCATAGTTAACATCAGCATAGATAGCATTAGCATAGTTAACATTTACATAGTTAACATAAGTATTAGCATAGTTAGCATTTACATAGTTAGAATTTCCATAGTTAACATTAGCATAGTTAATATTAACATAGTTAACATTAACATAGTTAGCATTAGCGTAGTTAGAATTAACATAGTTACCATCAGCATAGATAGCATTAACATTGTTAACATTAGCATAGATCGCATTAGCATAGTTAGCATTTACATAGTTAGCATTAACATAGTCAGCATTAACATAGTTAACATCAGCAT